GCCGGTTGCCCAGCCACCGCGTCGACCGTGCAATATTTGTTTGTTTATACGATACTAGCTATTCTCGCGCGCTTTCACCCGCTGCTCGGCTACATTTAATCGTAGCGTGATGATTTATATAGTCTATAGCTAGCTATCTAGTAGTGATAGAATTTTGGCAATCCGACCAGCGGTTCCTAAGATTACCCCCTACATACAAACTTACAGACTTACAAACATACAAACTTACATACCTCTTTATAATATTAGTATAGATAATAATTAGTTTCAAGCATTTTTTATTGGTAATTCTCAAGAAATAATTTCGTTATTTTAAAAGTATAGAATGCCAATGTAAAGACCGCCCGATTATATGAAGTAATTGCTACATTGTTACTAATTATTTTCAGCATGTAGGTATTAGTTATAAGTATTGATGTAAGCAATTGTTGGTGAACCTAAATATATAAAATAAAATATTCGATTACTTAACAGGATTTAATTTATAAATAATCAAAAAAATTTGATCAAGGAAGGAAGAGCAAACAAACACGGAATAGAAAATACAGCAAATGATTCCAATGATGAGGATAACCAAAACAAAACATAATCGTATCAAATGTCCAAAAACTAAAAATAAATCCGTTCGATAGATATATAGTGCGATTAATTTAGCAAAACTTATAATCGTATTGATATTTCCGGACAATACCGATGCTATATTGAAAACTAACTTCTGCCCGCGACTCCGTTCGCCTGTAATAGGGATTTCCTGCAGATTTTTGGTATAAAAACTATCTATGACGTTTCTCGAGCTCAAAACTATGTCTGTACTAAATTTTACAGAAATCGGTTCAGTAGTTTAGGCGTGAAGAAAAGATAGACAGGCAGACACTCAGAGTTACTTTTGCATTTATAATATTATATTTGTTTGGATGACTGGTTCTCAGTTGGATGCGCGAAGACATCGCGACGTACACGCTACTGAATAAGAGTCCCGTTGAGACTTGAAACTGGTAGAACTTTTCTCGCTTTATTCGCGCGAGTAAGTCATTATTTTCTCTAGTATGTCTCACCATTGTAACCTACTATTCAAAAGATACTTATACTGATATAGGTACTGAATTCCTATTAAGACTCAAGCGTCAAATTTCTGTGAATGCGTCAATGATTAACGATATATCAATATGGTCAGTAATAGATACAACAATGGAATGCAATCTATATCTATGTGCGATGATATTTATAAAAATATAATAGGTTGAAAGTTACCAGTATGGGTTGTGGGCAAATAGCATTAATTTATCACGGCCAGGCTTGGAGCATGGCAAGGTGTGGTTTTTAGTCAGTAAGGGTCTGAAATTCACTCACACCCGCCAAAGGCAAGAAAAATTATTGAACCCCATTAAAGGAATCGTAAGTTTAAAAGCGTGATTTTATTTGCTAGTAACTAGACTTGGAGCAGGATTTAGAAGTGTTGGAACAGTGTGGTATTTTTTCCCTCAAAAATCTAAAGGTGCCTTTCTATAGACGCCTTAATTAAAAAGTTTCGATTGAATAGTATGTGCCTGGGTCTTAGACGGCATTGTGTTTTTATTCATATGCGGCTTCTGTCAGTGGAGTGTAAGTACAGGCAACTCAAGTAAGGACTTCCGAACTCCCCTGTAATTGGGGCTGTGGTGCAAGCGGTATAGGTACAGTGCCGTGGCTACGGCCTGGACCAGGCAAAGAATCGGGATGGTTTTCATTCAATAATAGTGAAACTTCCCTGACGCCCCATTTAGGGCTGGAGAAGTGGAAAAGTATAGTCCCCAGTAACAGATTAATTACACCTATTAATACCTTCTGATAGAACAGAATTCATTCTCTCGACATAAAACTACAATGCCTACCTTATTGTATATTTTGATAGTCAAATTCAAGTAATGATATATTTCTTTTTCTTGTTTTTAATTATCATTATTTCTTTTGTTCTATCAATTCTACAATTAGAATACTGTAAGTGTGTAGTAAGTATTCTTATTTATTGCGACAAATACTTAAAAGTCTACACTATGAGAAACACCTTTAATTCGTGGGGAGGTCGGAGGATGGATGTTATTTTATGGTCAATTTTTTTTTTATGGCTGCTGTGTCAACTTGAGGTCTAGTAATTTGGAGCTAAATGAAACAATGAAACAATGAATTCATTTTTGCAAATAGGCCATAAAACGGCACTTTTACACGTCAATTTATATGTAAAAAACTAGATGAAGAATGGGCAACATAGGTATAAATATGTACTCTAAACACAAGTAGGCATTTGTAGTAAGTGTATATGTACATGTATATGTCACAGGGATATGATGAAAAGAAATCCCTTAGGGATTTGATCATATAATATAAATAACAACAAGGTTTTATCATTTCCCTAAGCAAATCTTGTGATTTGACAAATCTCACTAAAGAAATCTAGTGATTTGAACAAATCCATAACAAAAATAACTTTTGTGATATTTTTAAGGTTTATTTTGTAAGATTACCTACATAATTATAATAATCAGGTGTAGGTATCACAATGCAATATTAATCTAAAAAATCACCACTAGAACATTATTATATGAAAAAAGAGAAACAAAAATTTATCAAAAATGGTTGTTTCACGCCGGTGTTCTATGAGGCCGTGGTATCACTCCGGTCGAGCCGACCCATTCGTGCCGAAGCATGGCTCTCCCACACTTCGTAAACAAGAACTGGACACTATTTATTATCATTTCACTAAATAACTTTAGGGATTTGTCAAATCACCAGATTTGCTTAGGGTCACGATAAAAACGTGTTGTTATTTTAACATCCTCCGTGATTTGATCAAATCCCTGTTTTCATCATATTCCTGCGACATATACATAGTATAGGTAAGTATAAAATATAACTAGATTATACTGTTTTATCTCTCTGATCTCTTTCTCAGTGGCTTAGAATGATCTTAATCGCCGTGTCATCTATGTGTCATCTTTTGTATTGTGAAGGATTGAGTCAAGATGTATATATAATTATATTGTGTAAAACGCACTTTTCAACTGTTATCTAATGCTATATGTAAAATGTACCTAATAGGGAAAAATGTTAAATTAAAATAACACGATTGTGTCCAACAATTTGATAAAAGCTATTAAATGATATACTTAATAGCTATTATACTAGGAAGGAAGATAAACTTGCAACATTATTTCCGTATAAATATAGCATTTTTTTATATTATAGGTATTGTTTGATAACTTGCCAAATTCGATATTTTTATTGAATGACAAAAACATTTATTTTTTGTCATAGAAAAGTGTGGTCATATTATTGTAACGTCATAATGTCTTATTACGATTTTTTTGAGATTTCCTTAGTGTATTTTCGTTGAGCACCAGAATCGGGCCCTTAAATATGTCCCTAGTTTAACCTAACACACTGTATTTAGGTAGCTACTTATATAAGAAATACTAGTTATTTTGTTTATTGCTACACAAAGAATAGGATACGGCAACCACATACATAGCAAATACTAAGGTGTAGCGGCAAAATTACTTGGTTTTTACATTAATATATTGTTTATATGTATATTGTGTTATATCTGTTTATTATCCCTCAATAAATTAATAAAATATCAGCTTTAAGAACAAAGCAATTAACCAATCACAAGAGTACCTAATAAACTTAACATTTTCATAATAGTTAATGTCATTTCATGACAATTACTTACTTGATATATATATTTAAGGTTAAGCGAGTTTGTTTTTGACACGAGAGTTAGCTACTTAATCAAAAACACAGCCGATTGCCTAAGAGTCAAGCCTACCACATTACTGTTAGGAATCTGGTCTACTACATGAAAGAAAATTCCCGTCCTTCTTGGTCTACTGAAAGGTGGTTTACTGTCGTGGTGGCCCGTAGGTTAAGGAGCCTGCTTCACATGCATGAGGGTGTGGGTTCGAAACCTGGCAAGTACCCATGTGACATTTTCCGAGTTATATGTACTTTCTATATATCTTCACCGTATGTCAGTGATGTCTTATTTAGACATCACTGTGTGGTGATTAATAATCTAACTTTCTCCGTATGAGAAGAGGCCTTTGCTCAGCAGATGGCACTTATAGGCTGATGATGATGAGAGGACCCGGTGTCCCTTACAGGCAAAAATGGGGGCCCACCGGCGAGGTTTTAGTGAGCTAAAAAACCCACACTCTCCAGTCTTTTACTCCAAAACCTATGCAAATGAAGGTTTCCCCCGTAAACAAAAAAAGGCCTACCACAATACCAAGTAAATAAATCCGCAGTTACCTACGTATGTTGGATTACGTTGTTATTTATAATCATTCGAACATTGACCTACAGTTGGCAATCAAAACAGTTCAGACCAAACTTAAAATAAAATCACAAGAGATTTCGAAACTGCATTGTTACAGAAAAACAAATGACTGTCACATAAACTCATAAACCTGCCTAACCTATCGGATATTAAGAAGCCGTGATATTATGTGTCAATGTTACCTTATTATGGTTTATATAAACAATAATAAAAGATACCTATATCTACTATATAAGATGCATATATTAGGAGCTGATGTTATTATATCATGTTGCAATTTGTAACCCAAGAATCCTTGTCACCATATCTCTTCACATAGTTCACATATTTGTATAGAAACAACCTATCAATATTGAATAAATGTTTAATTTCTTCTAATCTTAGTTATCATTAATAGTTTTATTTGCCAGTTACCCTTAACCGGTTATGGAAAACACTAAGCTAGTGATATCTTTGTGAAAATAACTAGCGAAATGAGGAAAGTCGAAGCTTAATTTTCTGTCATTAACAAGTCTATGAATTGGCAACTAGACTTTATGTTATTCAGGTACTGCTTTTCTATATAAAACAAATATTTATTATGTATTTTAGTATATTTTGATTGAAGAAGTAGTCCTTCAAAATTTAAGCTCGTAATCTCTTACATAACAAGCACATACAAAGAAAGAATGATATATAAACATACCCCATCTTTTCGGCGTGCGTCCCAAGAAGCTGTTCTCTTCATGGTTGTAGATGGCATTCGTGAACCTGGACAAGCAGGTCCCTGGAGGAGGAGGGGCTCGCACCCACTCCTCAACTCCATTAGTTTTGCTCGCCATTATCTGTGACTTTTCTACTCTGAACTTTCGATTAATCCGTAAATAATACGGAGCTGGAAAAACGGCGCGTCCGTCATTCACGACGGTATACGGTACACTGCGCGTACGCAACCGCGTCACTGTTCAAGTGTTGAATAGGTGTCGTTTGTAAACGTCTACATTTGTGATTTATACTCGTTGTCGCCTTGTCGTGTGTCGGTCTGACTGTGTCCAGAGGAAATGCTTTGGTTTAGTTTCATCATGGAAATTTTTGGAGTTACTTTTATGCCTTGTTTTTATATAAATTAAAGTTTCATACCGTCATTTTTGTGCTTGTAAATTGTTAAGGATTTTAACTACGTAGAACACTCACGAAATTCAAAAACCAACAGAGTAAGTATTGGTTAAGGACGACGTTCTGGCTGCACATCAAGCTATAAAACAAAACCAGTAAAAACTGACTGTTGAATGTACTTACATATCATAGAAGCCGAGGCCATTATAAACTGGTTATTTATAGCTTGTATGTTTATAAAACATAGTTTAATTGTTTTTGTTATAGATAAGTACAAATACCGGTTAAAATAAGTTCGTGATTTACTTGCAGTAACCTTCACATTACGATAAACTATCGATAGTTTGTGGCTTAATAATACCTACTTTAAAATTATAATTAATCAACTGAACTTAGGTACTTATGTCATTTATTATGTTTAACGTTTTCAAAACGTATTGAAATATTGTAAAAAAGATGGCTAACTATAACTATTCAACAACTGCCATCCAGCCTTCGAAAATCATTAGTCCACCTTGCTGAAGAGTGCCCTTCACTACGTTTGCCTAGACGTGGTCTCCACTCTAGAACACGTCTACTCCAACGGTCATAGGTTCTTCAACAAATATGACCTGCCCACTGCCGCTTCAGTTTGCTAACCCTTTGGGCTATGTCTACAACTTTAGTTATTCTTCATAGAAATTCTTCGGATATTTTTCATACGAATGTATTAAATGTATCAGTAAAATTTTGGAATAACACAATTCAATCTACTTATGTTTCTCACGCCGCCATTATAAAAAGGGCCTAAAGTGGCCAGCCAACCCTCACTGAGATGTTTGCATCTCGCCCCTATTCTGTTCTGCTTACGCCTTCAGGCAACACAAACCTCCTTGAGTATAACAATAAATTCCACCTCTGCTATTTAATAAATAAAGTTAGTTTTATTTCATCAACCCAAACCTAAAATTTAATCACGCATTGTACATCACTCTAATGTAACGTTAAGGAAGTGGACAATTAATCTAATAGAAATAACCGGAAAAAGCATCTCCTGATACCGTCCGTATGACGACGGACTAATTTTTCAATTATATATTTACAGGCACTTTTGAACGTCAAAAAAAAATTAAAGATAAAAAGTATCAGTCTGTCGGTCAGTCCTCTTCGTAAAGCTAGTTGCTTGTTCCAAAGTGTAGACTCTTCCAAAGAGTAGAAAAATAGACGAAACACAGTCAGTTTCATGGTGAGAACAAAAAAAAACAGACATTTCACAAAATCTCCGATTTAATATAATGTCTGTAACTTGTAAACACGTGCAAGGGGAACATGTGTGAGCGATTGACAGTTTACCAGATGAAGTTTTTGTGTCCACAGTCCCAGATCCAAACGCATGAATACTAAACATATCACTACATAGTATAAAACGAAGTCGCTTTTTCTGTCCCTATATCCTTATGCATGCTTAAATCTTTGAAACTACGCAACAAATAATGATGAGAGTATTTTTTATTGAGTGTGATTGGAGAATAATATTATGAAGTTTAAAAGTAAGTGTGGTTGGTTCGTTAAAGGTATTAATTAATCTCTAGGAATTTAGTATAAAAATGTGTTAGATATTGTCTTTACATCGAGAAAGGGTGTATAACAATGAGCTATAATCTAGAGGTGTCAAAAAGCTGGTAAAACCGCGCTGAAGTAGCTAGTGAATGCTACGCAAACCGGGACAGAAAACAGCGACAAACGCGGGAGGTCGATGCCGGGAAGTCTGGCTTAGTGCAGCCAACAATAATATAATTTTACAGTCGAATCGGACACTTTATCTTTGAAATGTATTTTATGATTTGACTCACGAAGTCTGGAGAGAACTAAATTTGTAATAAAATGTCTAGACCATCTGCATGTTAAAAGAAGCCATGACAACCGAATTTGTATTCGATTTTTTTTTGCAGTATCATAGAAGTTAAGGTCTTTTTCACTTAAAATTGTTTGTCTTTATGCATCAAGAACTACCTAAATAATTATGTTTGTAATTTGTTACCTCACAAGCACAACCTGAAAGCATGACACACTCTTTTTTGTGTGGAGAAATCATCAAATGTCTTTTCTCGCCCAGGGTTTTTTTTTTGTGAGGGGAAAATCATCAAATGACTTCTCCCGCCCAGGGCCGGGCAGGAGGGAGTGTCAGACTCTTACTGACTAAAAACCCCCCTGTTCCTTCTCCTGCTCTGTGCCGAGGTCGCGGTACCTCATTGCGCTTACCCCGCAACCCCGGCTGAACATTAGCCCTTTAGGGCCCCGTCTGTGGTGGTCGAATGGCTCTCGCCCAGGGTGAGGCAAGAGGAAGTGTCAGTCTCTTACTGACTAAACCCTTCTTCGTTCCTTCTCCGGTCGGAGGTCGGTAGGTCGTGGTAGCGGTAGGTACTTTATTTTAGTCTTTTATCGACAAATATGTATAATTGTTACACTTCCTGATAAATTCTGTAATAAGGTGCTTAGACAAGAATCCGAAGTACCTACTCGAAAGACAATTATCAAATGGGACTCATGCATGGTATAGGAAACTACAGCTAGATTCTTAACAGTTCCTACACGGCCAACGATAACAACCTTGCAACAAGGTCAAACAAAAGGGAGTGATTAAGCCAGGACAACTAGTCTGGCTCGCATCCGTACTTCCATTTATTACGACAGAGCACTTATTAGCTCGTAATAGGGTGCACACACACGCTATACACAAGCATGTCTTTAAGGACACATGTACCGGAAGACGCGTGGGCCGTTATTAGGAAGGAGCGCCTATGCTGGGTACGGGGAGTTCTATCAGATGACCTAGTAGGTATGTCGGGAGTTAGGAACCGGGTATTTGATGGATCGCTTTATTCTTATACGTTTTCTTGTACGAAAGCCAAGTTTCGGTATGAAAGGGCTGGCTCAACCGGAGTAATACCACGGCCCCACCGATCCCACGAATCCCTAAATCCCCAAAACCTATACGGACCAAAAGCCTGGCAAGGCACTTGCAACTCCTCCGGTGTTGCGGTTGCCCATGCGATGCCATTATTGCTTACCATCAGTGACACATCTGCTCATTGGCCACCGTTTCGTATAAGAGAGTGTTACGCCACATATGAGCCGCCTTAACCGGAGTAATGCCACAGCTCAGAAGACACAGGCGTGAAACACCGCTTTCTTTGCGTTTTACTGTGTGAGTGAGATCCGCAATGCATAGTGTCAAAAACACTATGCATAATTACCGAAATCGAAATAAAAACTATTTTTCTTCCAATCTTTAATCTCCATATTATTCTCGAGGCCCAACAATACTTCTTTTCGCCCCCGCTATCACAAGTGGTGGGCAGCTTACCAAGTGTTGTCATAAAACAGATTAGCGATATGTAAGGACGGTCTGCATTCCTGTAGCCACTGAATGAGATCACCTCACCACTGCACTGAGTGGGCATACAACGCATCACTACGATAAAGATGGCTGCCTGTCCAAATTAGATGTAGGCAGTTAATAGCACTGGGAGAGATAATAGGGATAATCTGCTAATAGTTGTCTGACGAAATGTCGTGGAATGGAAGATGGAATAATATTATAGATAAAGGAACCTGAGTTCGAGGTTATTTACTGATTGACCGAGCTGACGGATACGTGATGATCAGCAATCGGCGTCGGCAATGGACACCTGCAACACCCTGGAGTTACCTACTAGTGAACTCCAACCTTTTAAAAGTTTAGGATTTGAGGATCAGGGCCATTTGGGCTGGTGCAAAGTACTTCACACTGTAAAACACATCTCAGGTGAGGTTTCACGACAGTGTCCTGTGAGGCCGTGGTGTCAATCCGGTCTAGCCGGCCCATTCGTGGCGAAACATAGCTCGCTCACACTTCAGTAATAGTAATATTATTATTAAATTCATCGTAACATAAACAGTCTTCCGTAGGTAATTACTTAGGTTGAAATCTGCCAGGTAATTGCAATCATTATCCAAAAAGCATTAACCAATCAAGCTTAGAATTTAACAAGAGTTTGTTCGACAATCTTCTAGAAGCCGGGGCTAGTGTAATGGACGAATGGGTAACGGCCGTCATCATGCGCCGGCGCAGGAAGGAAATTAATCGTCCACTTGCAACGTCTGTCGCTAGGAGGGAATGGCCGGCAACCCACGTAGCCAACGAACATAACTATCATTTTAGACCCTGACATCGCCCGGTGATACTTTTAAAGACCTCGTTGTAATAAGATTTAGAAATTGATTTAGCCATGGGTAAGTAGTACATTAATATTAAACTAAAATAAGGTTTTGAAATGGATTTTGATTTTGTTGAAAATTATGACATAGCTAGGTAGGTACTCAAGTTTTTTAAACTAGAAATGGAATTATTTATCATCGTTATCCTATTCGGTATTATATCGCTTTCTTTTTTGATAAACGTTCTCGTAGAAAACTGGCATGAAACAACTGCAGCGTTGTTTCGCCGTGTGAGTGAGGTTACGATGCTAATCTAACCTAACCTAACGTCTAATCCCCAAACGGCGGCAACGCAGTCGTAACTCCATTAGTGTTGTGGTGGGTGACAATGAACAACGCTGATTGCGTATCGTCAGGTAATTTGTCGCTTCGTGTCCATCCTATAACATGAAAAAAATTTTTTGACGGAATCTGACAGACTGACTGGAAACATTTGGTGTTTATTGAAATTTCGAACAAATGTCAGTTCTTTTTGAGCGCTTTGCTAAGAAGCATAGGTACCTATGGGTACCTATGTACAATAAGACAAATTATGTGGGTAGGAAAATAAAGATTAATTTCGTGTCTTGGGTTGCGGAAGGAACGGGGGGAGGGTTTAGTCAGTAAGTCTGACACTCTCTCTCGCCTTACCCTAGGCGGGAGAAGTCATTGGAAGATTTTCCCCTGACAAAAAAGCCACTGTAAACACTAGTTGTGTCATAAATCTAAATAAAATTAAAACAAAAACATTCATTTCTAAAATTTTATTTCTTAAAAATACATTTTCAGGCACTTCGATATGGAAATACATACACTCTAATATACATTTTATTGCCTTAGCATACAGTTTACAATTGTATGGAATAAAATGTCATTTAAAATTATTGAGACAACATCTTTATTGGACGGATATTGACGAGATTCGTTTAATAAAAAGTAAGTATTCCTCTTTTATTCGAAGTCGGCTAAATATTTTAGTCATAAAATAAAATAAATATACATGATTGTATAGTTTTAAAAGTTATAAAAGTTTACATGTTTTTATTATTGGAATGTTTTAGCGAGTAAATGGGCAACAACCAATCTCAATGTTCAATCTACCTTTCGATGGATATGCTTACTTCAAATAGGCTTTTGACTCATTTTGTGGTGATCTAGTTCATATTTATCAGCGAAACGTCTCTAGGTGCAGATAACAATTAACTTGTATGTTTCTTTGAAATTATTTTTTATAATTATGCTTTTTACCTAACTAGTAAAACTTCAATACTTTTTTTGAATTGTCACAAACTATCATTTTGTATGAAACTGATTTTGCTTCGGCATTTCTTCTTAGAGTAGTCAGATAGGAAATGCCGGCAGGCTTCATCTAGTTTTTTTTTAACATATAATTTTGACGTGTAAACGTGCTGTTAATAAATTAATTGTTTCATTTAGGTACACAACAAGTTGTATCTTCAAATTAAGTCAAAGTCTTTTTAACACGCTTTTATTTTTATAAGCTAAGCTAAGTAAGTATAATATTCTATTATTGAATGAAAATGTCAATATGTTGCCAATACTACGGACGGGTGATACATTGAGACTGGCCATTTACAATATTAACTCAGAAAAACAAGAGGTTCTTCAAAATATTGCAAAAAAAATGTTTTATACAAACCAAAACATATTGAAAAATGCACCTTATTTCTTTCTAACAAATTCCTCTTTAGGTTGGCAAGGCAACATTTCCTACGAAATACGTAGGTATAAGTAAAAATCAAAAAGTTTGCAAAGTTAATTCGTACAAAATTAAGTTAGTTACTGCACACAAACTAAGTACAATGTTAAAAACTTAAGCTATGTGTAATAAGAAGTAGTACAATTGTCATTATTTTATTTAGGGCTGATTTTTCAATAGTCAGATAAATGTTATCCGAGGAATAAAATTGTTGCTGTCACTTTTATCTAACCATTTGAAAAATCAGCCCTGAAAAAGCTATTGAAAAGTATCAGTCTTATACATATTCAGGATACATGAACTAATACAATATGCGTATATAAAAAAAAACATATAAAAAGTATATATTAATCAGTGTAAAAACCGTTGATAAATGTAAAATAGAAATAATTTTATCAACAATACATAGTTGCCACAAATAAAAAAACATATTGGTATATCAGCAAAGCCCTTTATAGTGCATTTCAGATATCTCAGCTGCACATTCCAAAAAAAAAAAAATTTAAAATAACGGCCCACTAATGAGAAGTAATCTCAATCTAGACACGCGCAACGATGTCATCGCGACGAGGTCTCTGCTCATGAATAAAAGTCCCGTTGTGAAACCATAATTATAATAGAGATTGCTCAAATTGTTCAGGCTTAGCCATTATCTATATACATATATATCAGAATGAATTGGTAAGCGCATGACTCAACAGGGGTTGCGGGGTAAGCGTAATGAGGCACCGCGACCTCGCCACAGAGCAGGAGAAGGAACAGGGGAGTTTTAGTCAGTAAGAGTCTGACACTAACTGGGCGAAAGAAGTCATTTAATGATATTCCCCTCACAAAAAAAAAGCGCATTGCTTAACCGCGCCTGACCAATTTTGCCCGTTTTTCTGGTGTGTTGTTATTATCAGGAGAAGGTTTTTATCATATTTTTTTTTTAATAATAGTAGATAAAATTTGTAATTAGCTACCCTTTTGTCGTTAGCTGAGCAGAAGCAAGCCGTTAGTTGTCATAAAATGTTATATGTTTTACGATATTAAACAAAAACATAACACCAACTGTTTAGCATTTGAAGATACCAAATTACAATAACATTATACAGATAAATCATCGTAGTAAACATTGCATTAGTTTTCGACACAATACCTATGTGAGTTACGAGCAGTTGTAAACAAAATCTAATAATAATAAGAGAGATTCCCTAAGAATTATAGTCAAATCTAAATAACTAAATGCGTGTAAGTCTTCTATACATATAATACGCTTATTTCTAATATATTAACACAAATAAACACACATAAATTCTGTACAACACACAATGTAAATATGTAGAAGATATGTAATAACGTGTATATCAAAAAGTCGTTCACTGGACGGACGATATTATAAAAAAAAGTGGTAGAATCGGCTAATAAAGTACTTATTTTGTACTTACATGCGAAGTGATGAATATTCAATTTTCATTTTCATAGTCTTTTTAAACCACTTCTAAGAACTGCAACAGTTCAAGCTACCTCGAGATTCTTGTAGAAGTCTTTTGTTATACAATAGCTACGATTAACTTTAAATATCATTTGCATAAGAATTTTGGAATAATTGTCAATATCAATGGTCTACTGAAAAGACCAAGCTTCAAAATCGAAATCTCACACACTTATTGCATTAAAACTTTATTCTAAATTCATAAAATGAACTAATTGCTTTGGTCTACTCGGTCTACTGGAAAGACTATAAACAGTCACCACGAAAAATGATTTCATTTACTTAAAAAAAATGTGCTGCCTTTATATTTCTCAACATTATCTTCTAGACTGAATTTAATATATGCTCTCTTTCATTTACGGACATCAAATATGATAAGAAAGAGATGGCAACAAGAGAAGACCACCACCTTTGCAGTAAGACTCATTTATTCTTTGAGCAATAATAAAATTTCCATTTCACTTATGGAATGTATTTAACTGGCGTATCTCTTATTAAGTAGTATAAAATATGATGGTGATGACTGTACAAGCTAGGGGCCGAGTAGACACGTTTGGACGGATAATTTAGTAACTATTCGATCATAAGCTCAAAGTGCACTACACCTAGACGTTCTCTCCTGTCGTACTTAATGTTCCTTGCCCAGGCACGACACTCGATGTTAATCAGAATACCCGCTGAAAACACAAAGTAAAACATCAATTTTTATGACATGACTTAAAATACTTAATTCAAATACATATGTGTCTAGGTCAGAAAATCATCAAATCGAAATTAGATGACCTCTCCTCTGCTGACCTAACGGAAGTTTTAAGCTGATAACCTTTTCAATGAACTGATACACTACTGAAGTTTAACAAAATAATGTTTAATAATCAAATCAAATCAACATCACACACCCTCACATACACACACAACACTCACATACATATCCTCACAAACACACATACACCCATCTTAAGTATTATTCACTGTTTAATTTTAAGTTCAATGTTTTGTTAAAATAAATAAATATTGTGTTAATTATCACGCTGTGCTATCGGGGAGAAGCGGAATCGTCTACTACAGGCATTATTTGTCTAAAAGATGATTCCGAACACAAATCTTTGTAAACCAATTATTTGACACAATAAACTTTATTTATTATTATTTATTATTATAATCTATCATAATATCACACAATTGAAGAGATTTTTTTCTTTTAAAAGTTTTTGTTTTACATTTGGATATTCTCCTGTCGTGGCTGCGTTTATAAACATACAAATTCACACACACATCCCACTCAGACACGAAACAAAAATTAGTGGATCACACACAGTATTTTAAGACAGTAATAGAGTCTTTTTTCAGTATTTTGTAAGTAGTAGTTTCCCGATTAGAATAGTCATGGGATTCATGGAAAGTTTGTGTTACAGTGTCTGTCTGTGTGGTGCCCTAGGTCAGGCAGGACCTTCATGAAATATAAAATATTAATATGGATGGATGTTTCTTACTCATTCACTTAAAACTACTGACATACCCTTAATGAAATTTGAGAGGCACATATATAGATTATAGACTGGAATAAGGGTGAGATTAGTGTGAAATAAATTATTTTACTCACTTCTAGGTCTCTGCAAGTGTATAGCGACGAGAGGGCTGAGATACCCCTCAGCATTCTCATACGGGTAGAAGTACCCTGGGAACCCAGGGAAGGGCAGGTAGCTGATAGGACCAATATTCTCCTTGTCTGCTGGAGTTTCACCCTGGCATGAGACCCACACCATGTTAGCCTGCAATTAATAAAATTAATATAAATCTTCTTTTATTTTTCCTTCGTCTTTTACCCCCCAAAGTCTAACTTCGCTTCCAGAGCTGGTCTATTGCAGTAGCAGCAGATGGTGGTGATTACCAACTTTTAAGGGAATACGATTTCACGTCTAGTCAAAAAGAAATTTGATGGCAAAAAATGGTCGTAAGATTTCCCACTCCATCAAGATAGGTCCAAATTAGTTCGACGGTTATTTGTCAACTTAGACAATACAGGATAGATATTGGTAACTGCAGAACGTGTTTATGAATGTCGAAGAAAAAGAAAGGCTCAGGCTCAAATCAACATAATATTTTCACAATGCAAAAAATCAGATCATCAGCCTATAAGTGCCTACTACTGAACAAAGGCTTTTTCTCTCGCGGAGAAGTTTCGAGCGCCACCACGCTTGCTCAAGGCGGATTGACAATTTCGAAACTTATTATTAGAAATTATAACTCCAGATTTCCTCACGATATTTCCCTTTACCATATGTCAGTGGTGTCAAAATAATCATAGAGTGTACATATAACTCGGGAAAAGTCACATTGGTGCTTGCCAGGTTTCGCAACCACTCCTTCATGTATGAGAAGCGGGCGCCTTAACCTTCGGGCCAACACGATACAATGCATAAATAATGTAGAAATATTTGAAGACAAGACTTACATAGTTAGGATTGTAAGCAGTTAGGTTTTTAATGTGCATCTGCAGGTCGGTGGGCATATCTGGCGGTAGGTCCTCGATACCGTTGTAGAACTCAGGCCGCCAGCCGTAGATCCTGCAACATTTAACAGATGTATTTTAAACTTTTTAGATACGTCGCATTTCTGTTATGTTTTGGAATCTGCAAAGATTTTGAAAACAAAGGAACAGAAAGAAAAAAATAAATATTGTTGTCGTTGTCCACCTGTGTCCTGTGTCCCACATAATTGAACCAACTGTTTGTAAAAGGAATCTGTATGTGAAACTGATTTAAAAAGAGTAACCATTGAGTTTCTTGCTCGTTTTTCTCCCTCGGAATCTACACTTCGGAACGAGCAAATAGCTTCACTAAAAGGACTTACCGACAGACTGACACTTTATATCTTTAAATTTTGTTTGACGTTTAATAGTGCCTGTAGGGGTCTAATTGAAAAAAATGATTTTTGACTTTTGACTATTTGAGATATATTTGAAATGGTTGAATCTTAATTTCTTTATCTTCTTTCAAGGACCATGGTCAACTAGAAGGCCTAATAACTTGCTTTTGATAAGTAACTTTTTGTTTATGGGATAGGGTTACGAAAAAGTAATTAAATAACTGAGAGACAAACACTGAGACAAAACCACTGGTTGCCTAGTAAATATAATAAATGTGTAGGATCGGGGTAAAGAGTACAGAGGGATCTAAAATAAGATTTTCTCAAATAGACACTACAGATTCGTCACTTTTCTTAAAATTTTATTTCAAAACTTATTTATTTTGGGATTGATCAAAATCAATGAACGAAAATTAAATAAGGTTTTTAATAATTTTATGCATGTTTTGTGCATTGAAAAAATTTATTAGTAGTTTTTAATTTCTAAGGTATCTGGATTTTTTATTATTGATACACAGCTCGTTATGAGATTGGACGTTAAAGTGCAATGTTGTATCGTGAAACATGCGTGTTATGGTAATTCACATAACACACCATTGACCACACGGCTGTACATATTGTTAAACCAAGCTTTAGCGCAATTATGTGAGATTTATTACCTACCTACATAGCTATACTCCTCTGCCAATCCCTTCTAACATAACAGGATTCATGTTGGTACGTTTTGTTAGTTGCTTACATAATGTACTTACGATTACAATGTCACAAATAAACTTTTGTTGAATTTAATTTCGGTAACATTATGGATTGAAGATTCAATAAGGTAAGGTAGGTCCAAAATGTGTAACAATTTACTCCACCTCCTCTCAGACTTAACATTGCAGTTAATGTTTAAAATATTCTGGGTTTTTGTAGTAGGAGACGCAATAGTGCCTCCTAATATATACTTAGTCGGGTCATAAGTTCTGTCACAAACTTTTGATGTAATAACTTATACGCCTTTTGACAATTATTTAAAAATTATATATGAAATGAAAGGTCATTAAATGTACAATATAATTTTATTTACATTATTCGAAATGCCCTCCCCCATTTTGAACACATGCCCTTAATCTACGCGGCCAGTCATCGATCGCTGCACGCACCACATTCATATCTATGTCTGCCGCTGCTTTAACCAGAGATGCTCGGAGAGACTCCAAATTCGGGTGAGGTTTAGCACAGACTTTTTCCTCCAAATATTGCCATATCTTGTAGTCCAGTGGGTTTAAATCTGGACTAGAAGAGGGCCAGTCTTCATGCCGGATGAAGTCAATTCCACGAGCGATCAACCAGTCTTGCGTACTTCGTGCCTTATGAGCCGGTGCAGAGTCCTGTTGGAATATCCAATGCCTGTTCCTGAACATTGTCTGAGAAAGAGGTTCCACTATGTTTGTTAGGACAGTATTTTGATAAACTTCGGCACTAGTTCTCACACCTTTTTCACAGAAAAACACCTCAGTTACGCCTGAATATGAGACTCCAAGCCAAACCATGAATGAGGAAGGGTAATGCCCACGCTGGACCCTCGCAATACGCGCGCTTGCTTCTTCACTGCTGTGGGCATACACCTTATCATTTTGTTTGTTAAAACTTTCTTCAATAGTAAAAATTTTTTCATCCGAAAAAAGAATTTCGCGGTATTTTTTTCCCGCGTACCGTCGTAGCAAAGCGCGGGATCTGTCTAGCCTAATTTTTTTTAAACGCTCGTTCAAAAAATGTCCTGTCTTTTTACGATAAGCTCGTAGTCCCAGGTCTTCATTTAGTACTCTTTTAACAGTGGTTCTGCTTAGCCCCATCTGCAGAGCTAGGATTTTTTGTTTACGTACGGGATTTCGTTCGATTCGCGCCTTCACTGCTTTGATGACCTTATGTGTCCGAACTGTGCGAGGTCGGCCGCTTCTCTTACGATCTTCGAAGCTTGACTCTTCGGTGTATCGTTTGATAGTACGATAAACAAACCGTAACGTTATTTTCAAATTTTGAAGAATATTGAAAATGTCTTTTGGCGCGTAACCACAGCGGTGCAACGCGATAACCGCGATTCTGTCTTCTTTATTCGACCACTCCATATTTAAAAATGAATAAAAAATAATTTCTTTTTTATTTTCTACAAGCGCGAAAGTTCTATTTTTAAAATAAGTCGAAGAATTTCTGGCCAGTAATCGAAAATTAAAAATATAAGGTTTTGACAGAACTTATGACCCGACTAAGTATTATATATAGTTAACGATTATTAAATCCTAGGACTGAAATGAGACAGCGGCCAGCTCGTCCGCTGGTCGCGTCCCATACTAAGAATCTGACGCTCGCTCCCGCCATAACTTAGGCGAAAAAATCCATTTGATGATTTCCCTGCTCAAAAAAGGGCTCAATTGAAATAATACCAATACCAGCCAAGGTTGTGAGTGCAATTATGTACCGTACCAGCTCGGAGCAGAAGAATGAACGGGATGGTTTTTAGTCAGTAAGATTGTGACACTCTGACACCGTGGGCGGAAAAAACAATTTATTGAATTTCCCCGCTCCAAAAATAGGAATACTTCTATGATATGATTATGGTATATGATCCTGAAACTTAGTAAAATAGATTTAGCTGATCAATAAAAATACGAATCTCTCGGTACAGATGCATGTTTTCAGGTTTCATTTTCGATACTTCGATTTTTTTACCAATAAGAGAATTTATAGCGAAAGGACTAAAACTAACCCCTAACATTTGCATATCTAAAACGTAGCTACGCTAATGAATTTAAGATTCTACTCACCTATTCAACTTCAAGAAGATACAAGGCGAAGATTTGTGGAAGGAGAAGTGGTTCTCATCAATACAAGGCTCCAGCCTTCGGATGTCCACGTCACAGACCTTGCCGGGAGGCGGCAGGTTCTTGAAGTCACAGTTGTAAATGTTCTGCCCTGCTCCCGCGGTCTGACCCTTCTTTTTGTACACTGTGGATAGAATGAGATATTATAAATGATGTTTTTTTGTACAGATGAATTACATAAGTAGGTACTATATATGTAAGTCTTCCGCCGTAGTCGGGGTTGCGGGGTAAGCGCAATGAGGAACCGCGACCTCGGCCCAGAGCAGGAGAAGGAACGGGGGGGTTTTTAAACGTAAGACTCTGACACTCCCTCCCGCCCGACCCTGGGCAAGAGAAGGAGAAGTCATTTGATGATCCCCTCACAAAAATAAACTCTTCCTTCGTTTTGTGCGTCTGTTTATTATTCTAATGAATAAAGTAATGAAGATTAAAGGATATATGCGTTGAGGTTTGAGTACCCCTCGCCAAGCTACCTAGTAGGTAGTTGGTAGTCGTAACCAAAAACTTTATCTCCGGCTATTCCTTATAAATTGTTAGCACTGGGTGGCATGCAGTCTTATCCTAGCGTAAGAGAAAGTCACCTGGCCAAGACAGATTGTACCCAATTCACTTGTTACTGATTATTTAATTTTGTTTGTTGTCTGTTGTAAATGTGCATTGAATCAACCACTTTTGTTCGTTTTTTGTTGCATAGTTTACTTCACGAATAAGGCTATTCGCTAAATAAAATCACGCTATAACCAATAAGACCCGAGTAGCGAGCGAAATCGAGCGGTAGCAGCTTTTTTGTTATACATTTCAATTAATATTTTATGAAACACTCACCGGACAAGAAATCGATCAGCTGATCTTCCCAGTATTTATAGCTTTCGTAGCCAGTTCCCTTATACCAGATAAGGGTGCTCCTGACATCTTCCGGCAGCGGCCGGAACCCTAATCCTGGGCTGGTGCCAATCACGCTGTACTCCTGTTGCAGCCGAGGCACTCGAGGGTTGATAAAGTGCTGCAAGAACGTGACCATGCAGACAGCAAATAAGGCTGCCAACACAGCATAAAAGATTGTGTAGAAGATGAGTATTTTACCTGGAACAATGAGAATAGATATAAAACAAATTGCCTCATTGAACAATAAATAATCGCAAATGCAATATATAAACTCATAACTGCACAGTACAGTACTGCACAGTACTCAGATACATGAGTTTGGTTCCTAGGTATTATTGGAATTTATGGATTTATTTATCTTTTAAAAAAAGTTTGTGAGAATCTACAGATGAATGTTTGTTATTCTTTCATGTAAAAACGGGTGGACGGATTTAAACTTTGTGTTACTTTTATCCACCACGTGGGCGAAGTCGCGAGAAATTGTTTCAGATATTAAGCTAGATTACACTGCAACCATGACTTAAATTACAACCAAGTTTAACAACTAGTAATACTGTTAAGGATGTTTTTGAAGAGGAAATTATACAATGACTTCTACCATCCTGGGTGCGACAAGGTTGAGCGTCCAAAAAAAAAAAAAAAATTATAAAAAAAAACAAAAAAAAAGTCCCACCTGACACTTACATGCTATAGCACTTCGTGCTATAGCATGCTATAAGCAAGCAAGCTACTTCGTACTTATTTATGTAGACATTTCTTATTAAAATGATATAAATGGTTTTTCAAGATAAAAAAATTATTCACTTTTGCCTGCACGGTTGACGTGGTAGCTGTGCAATCTGGCTGCCGTGCGACGTGTCGCGAGTTCGATTCCCGAAGGGAACAACACTTTGTGTGATCCACAAATTGTTGTTTCGGGTCTGGGTGTCATTTGTATGTGAAATCGTATGTTTGTAAACGCATCCACGACACAGGAGAAAATCCTAGTATGGAGCAAAGTTTTAAAAAAAGTCAATGTATTGTATTTTAGAATTTCCTGTACCTCTCTGTTGGTATATGTCTTAATAACTAAATACATATTGTGGAATCAGCACAGTAATTTTTGAGTTGGTTCTTTATAACTATACAAAAGAGAAAACATATACTTTTGCTTTAAAATATTTGTGTAGATTTAAAAATAAAAAGCAGTTTTCATTTATTTTCTTATTATCATTTAGGTATTAAAATACTACATCATTGGCTGAGAATAGCAACACTTATGTGAAAACAACAAGTACTCCAAAAAGGTTTATATTCAAATTCACATAATAATTTAAAAAATGAATATTATATGCACACAATAAATATGAGTCATGAAAACCTGGCAGCATAAAGTATCAACTAAAATAAATACTTTGACTTTGAAAATAGAGTAGTCATTAAAGATAATTACCTACTAAATGATTTTTATCTTAGTAAGAATTTGCATGACTCTCAGCTTATTGTTAGAAACTAAAGCAAGTTTAATATTTTGTAACCATAGAGAAATTTGTTATACAATTTAATTAAATATCAAGACAAGAAAAATGTCCACAGTTAGCACAATGACTGGCAACCGGCTACCATGCTAAAACTATGTTACTGTTTGTTGTTCCAGGTCTGGGTGTGATGTGTGTCTCATTGAATATTTCTAAACACAACTGTGATACAGGATACAATCCTAGTATAAAGCAAATATTTTGTTTTTGTTCTGTTATATTCAAGTTTTTTATTAAGAAACTAATACTATCATACTTTCTTTGAACATTATGCCTGTTATACTGCCATTTAGAATTCACTGGGCATCTTATTTGAAGTTAAATCAGTTTGACTTGCACTATGCTAAATATTGAGATGATTAACAGTATGGTAGTGATAAATACTACTGGTGACAAAGTATTATTGCTATTCTATTGGGTGTTAAGTGTATAATAACCAGATTAGTTAAAGTAGAATTAAAACACAGACAAAATATAAGGCTTCTGAGTGGATTAGCTATGGCTGAATGATTACAGCTATTAACACTGGCTGAAATGACTTTTTTTATTAATTGGATAAATACTTTTGTAACTTGACTATGACCTCTTTGTTATTGTATGATGTTATTGAAGTTTTTTTTTTGTTTTAGTTATGTTAACAGAAGGATGTCTAGTTATCTAGGAAATAGTACAGAAACATGAAATGATTTTGCTTCCATGTTTTGCTGATGAATGAAAACTAAAGCCCTGAAGATACCCACGGACCAAAAATACTAAGACACTTCAGTTTTGAAAAATCGCAATATTTAACTTCAATATTATATTTATTAGGTTTACGATTGAATCTTGCCAATAAGCCACGCCCTACTAACAACAAAAGTTGTTATCCAATGAATTTCTTGAATTGTAACAAATTAACTCTAATTTTATAAGGAACTATTGATAACCTTTTTATCTCATGAAAATTATTACAAAATAAAAGTTCACTAACCCCAACTTTCAGGCGTTCGTCCCAAAATTTCACCAGTTTCACCGTTGTAGAAAAAATATCTACATTTCTGACTCCCAGTCCTCTGAGAGGGTTTTGTATCCATTTCAAATTCTTCTCGGTCTCCAAAATTTCTACTCATCTTTTTTTGTAAGAGCACTTTCTGTTACAAAAACACGAAAATAACTGAATAGTAAACAACAAACACGCCCAGCCGCTGCCGCAAGTTTGAATTAACTAGTGAAGTGTCTATATGTCTGATTTACCAAGAAATCGAAAGCACAAACTATACTCGAATCATTGGCAATGTTTTAATCGACTATGTTTTCAACAAAAATAAATCATACCATAAAGTATTAATTCTGTGATTACTAAATCTGTGACTAAATCAATAGTTATAATTGTAATGAGGGTACTAAACATTTTTATTTATTTTATTTTTAGGAATTAAAAATCTAGCCTCGTAGGCGAGTTAGATTTATCAATCTATAAATAAAAAAACTAATTTGACATCAAAGTCATCACGTCAAACAAACGTCAATCAATTTTGTGGTATCACTTGTGATCATTGAGATAGTATTTCCTATGTCAATGCTTGTGATAGCACCGAATAATACTCTACAAAAGTTTAAAATACAGGTGTTTTTGATAATATTTAGCAGCAATGGGATCTTCTGTGCATAAAATAATTGTTACCGTAGGATTTCTATCACTGTTCCACTCAGCGTTTTCAGCAGCACAGCGTAAGGGTTTACGATTTTGATTAGAACTTAATTGAATATATTCCTCTTATTCATTAGTTAATATACCTACTTTTGTTGTTATAGATCGTTCGTACCTTCGAATAACATCACAAGAATTCACCACTTTACCTTTGGATGTAAGTATCAATCGATTATTTAAAATATGTTAAACATATAAAATGGGCCATGGACAATCCGTTTTTCTTCCTATTCCAGATCGTGGTACAAGCCGTGGTTAGCTTATTTGCCGTCATGTGGGGTGTTCTTAATGTTGCTGGTAATTTACGGGAGATACCAGCTGCTGCTGAGTTGAATACAGTTAAATGGGAGACTCAAAGGAACCTTCCATCCTTTTACATCTTCAACCATAGAGGAAAAGCCTTAGCCGACAATTATATTCCTAGTGGTGGTAAATGTGAACTAGAAAATGTTGAATAGTGTATTGCAACACTACTAGTATAATTATTTATTTGTTAAGACAAGTTATCATTATGGTATTTCATAAGGAGGATTTATTTATTTTGTATTGGACATTCTAACTCTCTTATTATGGCACCTCATCAGTGGTATATTAATTATTAACACCATATCAAAGCAAATATACTAAGACAAAACTGATTTCTTTTCCGTTCAACATAATAATATATTAACATTTTAGATGAAAAAAATTATGAATTACTTTCAGCAATAAATTTAAATTGAGTTAGACCCTTTACGGGTAAATACAACAATTTTATCTTGAAATATTTTTTTCATTTCATTATATCACTCCTATTTTATTTTCTAAGTGAGGCAGAGTATATTCACCTGTACTCTTCAAGTAGACCACTTATTTGTAACTTTTATTTTTTTAATTATCATAGCCTTGGTCATCACAACCAAGTAATCTAAGAATAAATACAGCACTAATATAATTATATTAAAATGGATTGCAATGTGTTGATAAGCACAATCACACAGACTAATATTACCAATTATTATTTTGCTGTGTTTGTTAGAGTCGGGAGCAGTCCTTTTGCAAGATTTTAGAAAAGTAAAGGGTAATATCAGGCTATACTTGTATAGCATTTGTTAGCACCCATGTGAAGCAGGAGATACATTTTAGATACTTACAAATAGATAAATAAAAAAAAATTATCTTAAAATATATGGTTTATTCCTTAAAATTATGTTTTTACATTATCATTATCTGCAAATAGTGAAGAACTGTTTGTCTATATCAACTGTCATGTCCTAAAATTAATATTTAGAAAAATTTGTCCATAGGACCCAAGAAGTCCAGGAGTAAATTAGCACATAGTGGAATAAATACCATGTGTACATTTCCTGTAATAATATTTTAATGTTACAATTACGGAATACATTTAAAGGTTTTGTACTAGCTGCTGCAGCTGTACTTAGTACAAAAATTAATATTTTGTTTTAGTTTTCTTATGTTCAACTACACTGTTCATACAAGTAACACAATGAAGTAAAGAATAATTTCATTAGATATGAAATTATTTTCTGTCTTCATCTGCTATCTTCAATTCTACATATTATTATAGTAACTATAAAATACCATTTGTCTTTAGCCAACACACATTGTTTTAAGTAATGATCAAACAGATGATCGTAGGCAAAGACAACAGATATTACAATATGAACATTATACTCTCTCATAGTTTCTTGCAGGTCAACTTTAACAATAGACATCACCACAAGGTCCTTAACTCTAAATGCACATAACTATAGTCTAATCACTAGCAGGCTGTAGCTATCGCCCTCCTCTTCCTCCTCTGAAGCCACCTCCCCCTCTGTTGAATCCACCGCCACCGCCGCGGCCGAATCCTCCGCGACCACCGCCTCCACCACCTCGGTTAAAACCACCTCCTCTGCCACCACCACCACCTCGGCCAAATCCACCGCCGCCACCACGGCCTCCTCGAGGTCCGCCACGGCCTACACCACCACGACCTCTCTTAGCACCAGGTGGCTGCGGCAAGAACCTCTTCAGTGGCAATAACTTCGCCGGGTCAATGTAAAACTGCTGTCCTGACTTGAAACTGTTTGCTTTAAAGTTGTCACTCATCTTTACAGATACGAAGTAATCCCGCAGGTTACCGAATATTTCGTCTATCTTCCCGATCTGTTCCTTGTTCTCGAGAAAGATGGGAGCGTTGAAGTATGGTACATCTTCAATGTCAACTTTGCACACCAAGTCATCTTGTACTGTCCAACCAAAGTGGCCTAGGGGGATTACAGACTCGGGTGGTCCTTGGTCTTGTTGTCTGTATCCACCACCTCCACCATATCCTCCGCCGCCTCGGCCACCGCGTCCACCGCCGCGGCCTCCGAAGCCGCCTCGGCCGCCGCCGCCTCCACGGCCACCGAAACCTCGACCACCTCCTCCGCCACCACCTCCGTAACCTCCACGACCGCCGCCGCCACCTCCTCTACCGCGGAACGACATTGTATAAGTAAATAGTGTCACAAACTAAAGCGTGTTTGGGATGAGTATAACCTCAAAGCGTGCGTGATAACACCATGCACACTTTTGACTTTGACACTTCAACGTTCCGTCTGTTTCGTTCCGAAATGAATTTTGTTGTCTTGACGGCATCGCCTTAGAAAATATATGTTGCCACCTGGAAGAAAATGAATACATCGACGAATAGAATCGACATTAATAATTACTGATCCACGGTGCTCATTCAAATATTTCATTAGAATCCTTTAACATCCCAAGCCTCTTTTTATATTATTATATTAAATCTTGAAGTTATATCACCAATTCATGAAGTGGTGCGGAATGTGGAATGAAAGATAAAAGGAAAGATGATAACCCAAACAAGATGCGTTTTTTCCACTACTTTACAGGGTTTGGGTCACAAGATGCGTCGATCAGGCGTTTCAAAATCAATTCGAATACACAATATATACATTATATATTTGAATATACTTGGACTCCACATTTGACGTTTTTTGAAGCAGCAGACCCACCACAACCCGCCGTTACTGGGAGATAAGAAGCTGCAAGGGTGTGAACATACACCCTCACAACATGTAGAAATATTCTTAAAAAAATATTATATTAATATAGGTGCATCTCAGTCTACAATAAAGTGCCTAGAAGTCTAGGGGAACTGCCGAAAGCTTAAGCAATATTTGATAGAAAAACAATGAATGTGTGCAATAAAGGATTAACGATTATGATTATTTGTGAGTTAAAAAGTATTTAATGTTTTATTATTTATATTTTGTACGTAGGTAGGTAGGTTCATTGCTTAAGTGAGACGTGCTGAACACAGCTAGGAATACCCTTAGCTATCCTAGGAATAAACCTTATTCAATAAAATTAGGTTTTTAGTGTTTTGGATTGTGGATAAAGCATGTGAACGCTGTTTATCTTTTTGGGGGAAGGAAATATTAATAATATGTTACTATAGTTCATTCACATTCAATCATTCAATCTACTCAATTCTGAACTGACATTTATTGTATCGACTTCAAAAATCAAAATCAAATTGTCAATTTCAAAATTTGTTGAGGAATTTAATTTTACCGTTTTTCAGTTTATAATCATTGTTATTGATAATGGATCGATAAAGATTGTTTTTTCTTATAATAAAGAGAATTATTTGCTTATGATTTGTTGGTTTTGTACCTTGTGTACAGTTCAGATACTGATTGATTAAGTAAAAAGTGTTTTGTGCAATGGCGACGTTGGAAGACGAAATAAGGGATTTGAAAGAGAAAAATAATGAATTGGTGCAAAAGGTGCAGTTCTGGAAGTTGGCTGCAGCCAAGAAAGAAGATGAAAAGCTGACACTTATGAAAGAGGTCAATGAATTGAGACTTAAATTGAGCGTAAGTTTATATTTCATAATTATTCCATTTCGTAGTCATCTCATTAAACAGGGGATTTTATTACTAGTTATTGCTAATATAATAATATACAACTGACTATAGTTGGTGGATTTGCTGAGCGATTAGCTGTTTTGCAACGCGTCACAGTTTCGAAACCTGCGTTGGACGAGAAGAGTTACTAGATTTTTCCAATAAGAGCCCTATATCTATAAATACCACGGTGTTTCGTCTCTATGATCCAAAAAAACTTAATGCTGCTTGTTTTGCACCCAGCTTTCTGTCATCTTCAGTCACTGTAATTTGTGAGAATATCTTATGAGAGTACTTACACCTATGTTTACACATATTCTTGTGCACTGTGAATTATCTTTTTTTAAAGTAAGCTAGTCTATTGTTTATCAGTTAGCAGTAATCCTTCACTATTAGGTGATCTGCTTGTGTAAAATAACAAAAGAATATAGTGCACAAACTTTGAACTACGGGAGAATCATGATTTATGTTTAATAAATCTACTATTGTGTCTACTGAGGACCTGTTGTGCAATGTCTGAATAGCTGAATGTCCCAGATAAATTTGAATATGGAATGTTATTAGTTGAAACTATACTATAAAACAAAAAACAAAATTTAATTTTTGTGCCTAGGATAAGTAAATCAGTAATATCTTAACATATTTATAGTTGACCATTGTAAATTCAGAGTACATACCAATTTGCAGTTAACATACAGCATTTTATGCAAAGTACCATAGCATGTAAAATTAAGTAGTTTCTCTCCTCCGGTAGATGCTCAGAAACCATGGATCAACACAAGCAAAAAAACTCGATTCTGCATTGCAAGAAGCCAGTGAAAAAGCCATCGCACATCTTGTTAATGCTTCTGCAGAAATCGCCAAAAGTGTGGAGATAGCTAAAGCTTATATGAGAGAAAGAGAAGAGCTGGAAGAACAGCTGCCCCGCTGGAGCACCCTTGGTGGGACACCTAGAGCGGAAAACACAGAAAGAGTGCATCGTGTTGCACCAATGATGATGGAAGGACGGTGTGTTCAGCCCGTAGTAGAGCTTAATAGGACTATCTTGCTAAGAGGTGAATCAGGTAGGGTTTCTATTCTTATACAAACTATCAGGCTGCATGTTTGGTGCAGTGGCTGGGCGATAATTTGTGCAAGAAACTTTACTTCTTTATTGCAAACATATGATTATATATGTATTAACTATATATTCTGTATCTGATATCTATAGTACTTAGTAATTATTTACTTTTTTATAAACATGTGACAAAAGAAATCTTCTTGTTAGGAACAACAATTTATAAATGCCTTTTTTTTCTTTAGGATCTGGAGATACCACTGAGAGGGCTGTGCCTTTACATATGCTGCAAGGTAATCATAAAATAATTGTATTAAATATTTTTTAATTACAAATAGTATTTTTTACTGTAATTTTAGTGTTAAAACAGTAATAAGCTATTTAGTCCACCTTAGGGCCAATAAATAAAGACTGCACGGTTGGTGCAGTGGCTGGTCAATTGACAGCTGTGAAACGTGTCGCGGGTTCGATTCCCGCATGGAGCAACACTTGTTGTGTTATTTACAAATTCTTGTTTCGGGGCTGGGTGGTTTGTGTAAGTGAATTTGTATGTTTGTGAATGTAAATAGCGATAGGCAGATTTGTATGAAGTCTGACGTGACGCATTTGTTTCTACTCCGAATGCAACCTTTCGCCTTACAATCATCAATGAACTAAAGCTTGCGCATTATACAACCTCGCCCGATGGTAAGAAATTAGAAACTACATACTACTCTGAAAAGTTCACATCGGTACTTGCTAGGCACGTTCCCGCTGCTGCATGTAATTACTACCTAATTAGATGCAGCAGCATGTAAATCGATTTAGAAGACCGGAAAAAGGAGTATCCTTTGATCAGGGTGGGTCATCCTGGCACTTATTTTGTTTTTTTTTTTGTGAGGGGAAAGTCATCAAATGACTTCTCCCGCCCAAGGTAGAGCGGGAGGGAGTGTCAGACTTTTACAGACTAAAACCCCCCATTCCTTCTCCTGCTCTGGGCCGAAGTCGCGGTGCCTCATTGCGCTTACCTCGCAACCCCGTCTGAACATCAACCCTATTGGGCTCCGTCTGTGGTGGTCTATTAGCTCTTTGAGGCGCTCGCGGAACGCTACGCGCTGTGCGTTCGGGTCTGATTCTGGTCGGGCGGCGAGCTACCCTTACTCGCCGTCCGCAGACGTGTTTTTTTATCCATGCTTATTGTCACGCTAATTTAACTTATATAAAAAGGTTTATTTTCTTTTGTTTAATTCCAGATGTTTACATACCATTGACTAGGATTGATATATCAGACTTTGCTCACCCCACTGTGGAGGTAGAGGCTAACATGGACACGGCTAATGATATCATTTCGGAGGAGTACATAGAGGGGTACGGACCACCAGGAGTTCCCGTGCCAAGTAAGTGCTCATTTTCCTTTATAAAATTAACCCAATCGCTCCCACTCCCCCCATCCCTTCCCAATCCTGAAGTATCCCAAACGTTTATCCCTAAAAGGCCGGCAACGCACTCGTAACTACTTTGGTGTTGATTGCTTACCATCATCCGTCTGCTCGTTTGCCGAACCATACCATAAAAAAAATCACCTACATTGAGTTTACACTCTTATTATATGTTATTTTCCTCTGCAGTACATAGAGGCCAGAGACGCCGTGAACGCAGGGAACGCAGAGACCGCAGGGAACGTAGAGAACGCACGGCCGACCACGCAGCAGAAGCGTATGAACAGCACGCTGGACAGCACTATGAGGAACACGTGGAACAACATCAGGAGCGTCAGGAACAGCATTATCAAGAAAATGACGAACAACACTATTCAGTACAGGCAGAACAACATTATGATGGGCAGCATGAACAACACTATGACGGACAAGAGGGACAACACTATGATGGAGAGCCCAACCAACATTATGATGAACAAAACTTGGACTCCAGCGAGCCTATGTCAGAAGGGAATGAGTACAATATGTATGTACATTTTAACTGTAAATTTTTATATATCCATGTAATACTCACAGATGTTCGACTAGTTTCAAGCCACAACTGGGGCTCATAATTTACTCGTAATTAAATTGTGACAGTAAATTGGAGCCGGTGAGTGAGGAAGAAAGGGCGGTCATGGCGGAAACACAGAGGTATGTTTTCATTATTGTCGTACGTGTATATTGTAGTACGTGACGACACGCCACGATTTTTGTGAGAAGCTTACATATTTAAATGTCATATCACAACCATTTCAACTAACTACTCAAATTCAATTTGCGAAATGTCTTTACGTCGCCAAATTAAGTTTTATAAGAAATTGAATAGTTGCAGTTTTTAAAAAAAGGCAACGAATTTTTTAAATGTCTTCACGTCGCCAAATATGTTTTATAAGAAATTGAATAGTTGCAGTTTTTGAAAAAAAAAAAAACGACTTATGAAACAACTGACAAAAGGTTTACTAGTTTCAAGTCAAAGTTAAAGCGTCAATCTTCCGGGCGAGAAAGAGGGATGGAGCTATTAAAGGTGTTAGTTTCATCTCTTTTTCGCGCTGCTTATGAATAAGAGTCCAGTAGGCCAACCATGACGTGTTGAAGCGTCCGGACGAGAAAGAGGAATGGAGCTATAATAGCTCCATCTCTCGCGAGGTTCCACCCGCTGGTCGATATTTTATAGCCTTCCTCGATGGACTTCATAGAAGAATAATTTTTCAATTCGAACCAGTCGATCCGAAGATTAGCGCGTTCAAACAAACAAACAGCGTTTAAACTCTACAGCTTTATAATATTTTAACTTTATGCACAAAAGAACATGAGTGGGCTTAGTGCATAAAAGTGATTAGTTAAAATGCATAATAAAATAAATATAACATAAAAATCTCAGTACATTACTGAATAATATACATACATTCACATATTATACATTCAAAATGTTCAAAATGTTAAAATGTTTACGTGTTAATTTGATTGTGCGTAATGTTCAATTTTATTTGAATCTTTATTCTGTTTTAATGATGATGTGGCATCCAAGGAGGAGGAGAAGCACAAAACTATTGTATTTTCTTTAATATTGCGCATGGATTGTGTATTCTCTGTTGGAGAATCTAATAAAATAAATAAATAAATATAATATGATACACAAAGTAAGCTAGTCTATAATGATGAAGATTCTGCCAACTTCCCCTCCAAGGTTCACTTACAAACTCCAACTTTGAATTATTGCTTGCTCAACAATCTAATACTTAAGAGAAATTATCCTATAGTGAGGCCAGTTTTTTTAAAATAATTGTTTTAGCCTATTTAACAGGATAAGCATGCAGTTACAAGATGACAGTTGGGGTCAGCAAGGATTTGAAACTATTGAAGAGTCACCGGAAGAGAGTCATCAAGCTTCATTGATGAACAGCACTGCATACGACAACCCACTGGAAGGTCCCAGCTGGTTGCTGGACCGCACCCCAACTGCTACTCGCACGTCGACGACTTCCCATACTCCTGGCAACCGCCATGTAAGTTGAAATCTTAACTAGAATTCTTTATTTTCAGGTTAAGGTAATTCAGTGACATAATATAGTACTGAGTTTTTCAGGCGTTGCAAATATGACGGCTATCATATTCATTTAACCTCTTGTCTGCCGGTATACGAGACACAATAGAAAACACATTGTGTCTCGCGTATATCTGCGTTCCGGCATACCACGGGTTAATTACATCTGCTTAACGTATATTTTTAAATGTATTCATTGATTTTTATCTAAAGATTTTTTTACGAAATAAAATTGAAACCAAAAGCGTTTCGGTTTTTGTTGATATCTAAATAAATTTATTTATAAATGCCACCATATAGATGCACTACCTATCGGAAGCTACCGTTTTTTTTGCTTACCATATGGCGCTAGTATAGACCTCTCGTTTCGTCCAATAGAGAATTAGCAGCCACTGTTACATTATTAGATATTTAATTTTTGACAGCTATAGGGATAGGAAAAACTTTTTTTTTGTTCTTAAACTTGACTTTGATTCTTACATATTCAGGAACCCACACTGAGGAGCGGCAAGAACTTGACGCCTGGCTCTACGACAGACAAGAATAGAACACCCAACACATCTACCAGGAACACTGATGACAATATACCAGTAAGTCCTTTTTTTCATATTTTTTTCCTTTCTGGACAATAGACCAACAATTCTGTATTAGCATATTTGTTAGTTGGTTTAAATATTGTTTGATCCAAATTTATATAGGTTATCCTTGTTTGAGTAACATCAAAATTTAGTTTTATATGTTTCGCTGGCAAACCAGTATATGGGTTACCTGATGGTAAACAACCGGCGCTGCCCATTGACACTCGCAACAACAGAGATGTTGCCAGTGCGTTGACAGTATTATGGGGATTCAAAGATCGGGGAGGGATGGGAAGACGGAGGATTAGGCCCCTGGTTAGTTTACTCACAGGGTGAAACACAACGATGTGGTTGTTTCACGCCGGTTTTATATAAGACCGTGCTATTACGACAGAGGTTTTGGACCCCTTGCATGAGGAGCGGGTGTTTTAACCTTTGGGATACCACTTTGAATTCCCACTAAAATAACAGAAAAAAAAAATTGTAACACAGGTGGAGCTGAGTCCCGCCCAAGCGACGTTCTCCCCGACAGTGCGGCGGCGCAAGCGCACGTCGTCCCCGCCCCCGCTGGCCACGCCCCGCCAGCCTCACTACTCGCCGCGCCCTTCATCCTCCAGGCGGAACAGTCGGAGCAGGTATGTGACATTACATATTTGCCTGATATGGTCTTTATGAATTCTACAGCATCTGATAGATTAATTAAGAACATACCAAAGTTTAATTTAATTACTCTGCTAATAAACATCAAAATGACTTCGTAATGGATGATATCAATTTTATGATAGGTACAAAGCCAGCCAGAAGGTGATCATTTCTGAACGTAGCTCTTTCTGTCTATTATTATCACCAAACTTATTTTTGTTACAAATATAAGTTATTTATCTATATATTGATACCCAATTGATATGTGAAAGTTCTACGCCTATTGCATACAATTAATTAATAGTATAAAGTGTAAACGATCATTTAACTTATACGCACAATCTGAACTGAGCTTTATTTCCTACTAGCGGCCTGCCCCGGCGTCGCACGGGTGTAATGATGATACTTACTAAATATCTCAACTTTTTATGCATGTTTTTATTCAAATAAACCTGCATCTTCAAGCGCTCTATCTATAAAAAAACCGCTTCAAAATCCGTTGCGTAGTTTTGACGATTTAAGCATCAGGATATGGGAACAGAGAAATCGACTTTGTTTTATACTATGTGGTGATGACTGCAATATACTTGTTCAGTTTGAACGGGCGAGTGCTGAAGGTGTTGGTGGCCAAGATGCGGCTGGACGGCAGCCCGCTGTCGCTGTCGCCCCCGAAGCAGGCGCGCTCGCCCCGCAGCCTGCCCTTCGACGCGCCCAGCCCCAACGGCGCTACGGACTCCCGGGTCATCGTGTCGTAAGTTACCCTACCGTACATTAACACAACACCTGTTATACTCTTTGTAAATTACAACACTGCATTCAGGCCCCCGGTCGATTTTGAATCAGTCAGTATTACCGCTTATAGGCTTTCGTTTTCTTGTTAAAAATAATTTCGCGGTTAAAAATGTCGGTTTTTCGATATTTGTGGCCGGGGTCCATGATGCAACGTTCAAACTTTATCGTTACGATGGAGTCTCATACGTTATATCTTCAATAATTTTTAATTAAACAGTTTGGAACATGTAGTTTAAAGATTTTTTCGATACCTACTCCTGACCTGCTTCATTGTAATGTTAAAATCAACTATACACTTTATTTTCCTTATGGAAATTTTTTGAACTCTTAAACTAATATCAATACTCGTCCCTGCTACCAGGGAAGCTAGGAGTGTAGACCAGGAAGTACCAGAGTCAGTGCGGGACGCGTCCATTGGGCGCCACAGTCGCGACCACGAACGGAGGCTACTCATACATAGGGAAAGGTACTTATCAGTTATAGCAAATTACTCCAATCTATTTTAAACTTTATTGTATCTGTATAGTATATAAAATGTTTAATTAATTATATAAACGTTGTTTTGTAGCCACCAATCTGTAAAACGCACAAATCCATATAAAAGAGTTCATAGTTTTCTTTTACTTATCCATGTTGTTATGATATTATAAATGTTATGCTACATTGCGACTTATTACAGGTTCCTATAAAGAGTTCCTCCTGTGATATACAGCTTATAACGTAAATAATTTAGTTATTATTGAGAACCAGATAATCCTAGAGTTAAAAATTTTATCATTATTAGAGAACTTTTTTTGACATAGCTACTAAATATTTTCTTCCTTCCACCTTATTCCCAGTTCAAGCCACCAGCTGAGCAGGGTGGGCAGCCAGGAGTCCCGCGACAGCGGGGCGGTCGGGCGGCGCGGACGGCCCGACTCCCGCGCCAGCCGGGACAGCGACAGCGGCAGCAGCGGCGCCGGGGGCTCCGTCAGCGAGGGACGCACGCGCAGGCCTAGGAAGGCTATCACTTATAAGGAGAAACCTTTGAATAGGTAAATAATAACAGTATTTCTTTTGCATTTGGCCTCTATCTTGTCTGGTTGTAAGGGATGATACGACTTTACACAAGCAATCTATTCACTCGGGCCTTAAAGATATCTAGGTTAACCCCTAAAGAAAACGATTCCGGCAAAGAATTCCAATCGCGGGTCTAATGATAAAATTTATTGGATATCCATCATGTATTGGTAACATTTTGTCAATTGTCTGGTGGAATTATGTCCGGTCCCAGAGATCCAGTTATTAAACCCGTATCTATCTGGTCTTTTAACATTAATTCTATCTTCTAACTTTATATCAACCAGGGAATTATAATTATTAAATTGATAGTTAATAATTTTTATATTGCGGAGTAATAAAGGTTGTTATTAATTTTGTTTCAGGAAATTACGGAGATGATCTCTATACTTCAGAAGAGCGAAGCATACTTAATTATTTATGGCTTTAATAGTTGTTATTATTTTGAATTAGTTTATGATTTGCGAGACTGGATCTCAGGTATGTACAATTGAGTATGAATTAGTTGCCTATTTATTAATATTTTTGAAAATGTAACATTATTGTGAAAAGCTTTGTTTTGTTGGCCGGCTTTACACTTTGGACCATATGCCATTCGTCCATTATTTGTGTGTTTTTATGGAAAATGGCTCTGGGATCGACGACGCCCATGAACACACAAAAGGAATTACATGTGCTTTGCGAGTTTTTGGATATTTGGGAATTGGGACGGGTTTAACCGTATGACTGAGGTTACTGGATGCCCAATATATCCGTCCTCAATCACCTAGTCACCCCATATCTCCAACCCCTGAAACGCTGGCAAAGTACTTCTAAGTCCTCTTGTGTTGAGCGTCCATGGCCGCCGCAGATTGATTACCATCTAGTCATCCGTCATTTCCTTTGTCTGTCCTATATCATTAAAAAGGTATTTGCTCATCAAATGTTGTTAGTTGATGGCTCTGGGTAAATTGTAAAACAGCTCATAGCAATTTCAGTTTTCTGTTGGACATCTCACAATGGCCAAGCCAAATATTGGATCCAACGTGTGGAGCCGGCATTATGTAGAAGTGATCCGACTACTACCAAATTACATAGTAAAAATATGTGTCTATACATTTCCATATAAAACCCGATAGGTAAATGTCTAACCAGTTTATGTGATTTAGATTCTGTAGCCGAATAAATATTCTAGTATTAATGTATTAATGTTTGTAGGTATTTATTTATTATTGTCTATACTCATTATTGTGTGACATTACATTTAATTAATAATATACTTATGTAAAATATTCAGAGCATGTTCGACTTATTTCGGGTCATACCGGGGTTCGTAATGACAAGCTGCGTGCGCGTCGAACGTTGTCGCGTAGCTGTCTAAAGAACCCCAGTATGGTTGAAATTTATAAAGCATCCTCGATAAGTTTACATAAGAACACTAAATATTAATTAGATTAATGTTTTAAATTGATGTTTTTCTGTCTATATTCTTGATAGGCAATTAGAAATTGCTAATTTAATGTTTTTAGTACGTAACATCATGCTTTTTAGTCCCCGAAACGGGTAGGCAGTTAATATTATGTAGTATTTAAAAAAAATATTGCCATTCATCCCTCATCGAGACATCCAATCATTGTAACACATCCAATATCAAATATGACTCAAAATAGTATTTTAGGAATCAATTTTAGATATATTTAATGATAATTATAAATAACTATTCCTTAACAACCATTTTTTTCTAATGACAACGCCAACAACGTTTAATTAAAATGATTCCGAGTGCGATGGTTAAGGAGTTAATTGTCAATGTTGTTAATCTTTGATGTTTGAATTACTCATCGTAGGTTATTTAATAATTGATAAACATTTCTCTGTAGCATTACCTGATGTGTAGTTATCCATGACGTTTAAATAGTTATATTTAAAATTAGTCAATAACTAGCATAAATAATCATTTCTTATACAGAAGTTCGTACTCAGAAAACTGAAAATTCCTTAGCAACGATTTTGTTTTGTAAACAATTCCTTAGGTCAAGACTAAAAACGTTTACGTATACAATATTATGTGCATGAACATTCTCTATTTTGTTCCATAAAATTTTTCCAGGTAGTCCAAAACGTAAAGGAGTATATAAGGTAGTAGAATCCTTATGTACTTTATTTTCTATCAATGTTTATATAAAATCAAGTATATTACCATTCTCATTAAATAATAATAACAATAACCTTGTCAACATTTGACATAGTTGGCCCCGTTTATCTTTGATTCGACTAGCGATTTTGTAGCAGTTTTGTAGCGAGTAGCAGTTTCATTGGCATAGTGAGATTCTGTTACTAGTTACTACGCCTTGGCTGCATGTCCGATGGTAAATGTACGCGACACCGTGCCGGCAATGTGTGAAAATTGAAAGCTAAGATACAAAGCTATTAGTCACCAGCATTGAAAGCGTATGAAGAGTTTAAACGGTCTAACACATTCTTAAAATTCCACGCGTATAATATCTTCCCTCTCATTATATCAATCTATACTGAGAATTTACATATTATTTTATATTATACATGAAATCATATTACATATACATTAGTTAGAAGAATCAAGTTACGAAATTCACAAAAAAACTACCTAAACCCTGTTTAAGATGTTTACACCGTAAACCGACCGTGCTGGGCACATATGTATAATTTTTCGTCGTCCATACTCAGGAAAGGCTGACTGAAAAGTTTTGAGCTTTAGGACAGCCGGTGATTGTGATTTTTGTCCCTTAGTTAAGTGCAATGAAGAAAGTATAGGATATGAGGAAGGTTCAAAACTTTTCAACACCCCAGTCATGAGACAGAGGCATTTAAAAGTTAACTATTTTATTTCATTCATTTTCCATGTAACTAGTATATTGTCGGGTCAGCATAAGTGTTAAAGAAAAGCGTTTTAAACATCACATTAACTTATTATTATTACTTTTAATACTAGTCTGCAGACATTTGGTAAGAAAATAAATATTCATACAGTAATGAGACAGTAGTTATTGTTACTTAAAATTTAGAGATTTTTAATGAAGTCTATCTTTTATAACCATTGGTCGCCTATGTAGCCAAAAATGGGTCCTGTCTTTACTGAATTAATACTTATTTTCTTATCTGCATACCAAATACCTAGCTGTTCTCACTGTACATACCTATTTTTGCATTTATATAATATAATACAGGAATCGCCGCGTGTGTAAATGACTTACATTTATGTTAGCGGGGGCAAATTCCGCGCGGCGTTTTGTCTTCTTAATATTTCTCTGTATCACAACTATAGGTCCTACCTATTGTGACTATTTTAATCAAATATTTATATAAGTAAATATTCCATTTTCTTCCGTACACAGATGCTGACACTACTGCTGATCTGAATAAGAACTGATAAGCATAAGTTTACTGTACCTTTATTACATTTCAATAAATTATCAAATATATTATTTGGTTGTTTTAATTTTTTGCAGCTAACCAGCCGATGCCCTTAAACTAAATGTTTAAATGAATGAATTAATTAATAAATAAATAAATTTCTCGTTCAGAAAACGCACAGAAACGGTAATGTACCTAAGTATGAAGGAATTATCATTAAAACCGTGTTGCTAACTTGCTAACAGATTCTTTTTTTATTTTATAAGGGAAAAAATCATCAAAAACTGCTCTCACTGGGTAGGTCAAGAGAGACAGTCAAACTCTTACTGAATAAAACCACCCCGTTTTTTCCCCTGTAGCAGGCCGGGGCCGCGATACACTGGTGCGCTTGTACCCCAGGCTGACATCAGGCGTATTGTCCGGTGTTTGGGTAATTTGTCCCCCATCTATGGCTGGCAACGACATTGGGTATTTTCCTTGGTCAAGAATTATTTCCGTCAAGATGTCAATAAACTTGAATTTTCAAAAAAAATATCGTAGGTACTTCACTGATGGATTTGAAGATATAATTATTTTTGGATTTATATTGATTAAATTTTAAGAAAGAAGTATGCTGTTTGACCCAAAATATATGATGACTTCACATTTCTGTTTTCCACATCAAATTCCTATAACAGTTTCGTTTTTAACATTTCAATAAAAGTAATGAATTTGACTAGTTTTAAAATACCGTATTTTCACTTTAGTGTCGCGTGTGTCCGCGAGCGACTTCGATTGCTTGCCATCAGCAATAAAAATAAGCAAATTATAACACAGAGGTATTTAAAAAACAAGTTTTTTATACGACTGATGAACTAATGGCACTTAGACATGTGAATGAACACTATAGAACACGTTATCAATATAATTTATTGAAAATAAACGATATTTCGCTAACAACAATCGCGTACATGATGTACAATACATAGTTCTAACAATTTCTACTCTACTAACACGGGAATAAAGGCTATGTGAAGGTAGTTTGAAAAAATAGAATGTGGATAATACTTTATACACAGCAGACTAGGTTAAATATTAGTATGCACTTCAAACTGAACTATTCGAAAATCAACAACAGTAAAAATGATCATCAAATCTTAGCGAGGTAATTAATGTGTTAAAATAATTTTGATCCACCTCTTTTTGGATAACTTAGAACTGTAAGCAGCCGCCGAGCATCGAATTAAACATGTCCTGATCAAAATTATTTTTTGGATTAAAATTTATTTTTTTACTCATTTTCATTGAAAAGTATAGCAAGATGAGAAAACTTTGATTATAATTTTACGTTAAAATCTTGGTGACCATTTTACTCTTGTCTGTTACATTTCTTTATCTGGTGGTAAGTTAAATATAAGCCAATTTGAACTTAGTAGGTATATTTCATGTGATATTTGTGTATGGATATATCTGGGAGATAAATGGAGATAGACCTACGCAACGTGAGATCTACTCTAAAGACTTGAACATACAAAAAGCATGCTATGTTTGACTTAAAAAGTTGTACTAAGGCATTGGATCAAAAACTACTGGTAGGAAAGATAGGTTCGGTATACTGCAAACACTAGATCCTAGAATCTATGACAATAGAAACTCATTAATAATATGTTTTTAGCAAATTGTTAGTAGGTATTTAGTCATTACTAGTACTTTATCGAAGTGCTGTTGTAACATTACAGGACATAATTAAAGTTAATTTTTCTAGCTAAATAAAAATATGTAACATGTACAACGCCTTGGTTTCTTGGTGATAAAAATGAACGCGTTGTTGTTTGAACGAGTATTGACAGCGAATAGAAAAAAAAATCAACGCGTTTTTTCTAACTACCTTCACATAGGTAACTTTAGATATTATATTTTTTTAATACTTTAATATTATTTTGAACGAGTATAGATTTACTGATAAAATGTTCGGGATTTTTTTGAATTAATGTTATAAATATTTCGTTAATTTATGAACAATAAGGTACACACAATATAGGCCTTTCTATGACAATTTCAAATTGCCTTCCATACTTAATGTTGCCACTTTAAAAAGGTGCAAACCTTATTTAAAAATTTAACATCTAGCAACAACAGGCACCACAGAAAAAAAGAAAATAAAACAAATAAAAATGAAATAAAGATTTTAATAGCTACGCCTTAGTTACTTAGTGATAAAAATAAAGGAATAAATTATAATAAGGTACAGTTTATGTAAACAAGCATGTACATAATTATTTTCCAACTATTCTAAACATGTCAATTTGAACATTTTCCACATGTTTAACAACATAACCTAAAAAAATTAAGTTTTCCTGCCACGCGAATTGCACCTCTATTCAATTCAGAATTCAACTCAATTTCCTTTATTCATTCTCGAGACACGATATAGGAACTTTAATATTCAAGTAAGACATTTTTATGGCTAAATATACTGAATCAGAAGAGGATACAGTTTATTGGATAAGAAAATGTTAGGCTATTGTTGTCCCTATCACACATCT